GCCTGTAATTCCAGAGACTTAGGCAAAAGATGAAGAACTTGTAATACAGTCAGGCAAGTTCAATACTGTGACAGACTTGTCATCTATAAAGTTCTAAGAAGTTCATGCTTGAAAATTTAAGTCCCCCCCCCAAAAAAAAATTGCTGGGCAGTGGTGGTGAATACCTTTAATCCTAGGACTCAGGAAGCAGAGGCAGGTGATCTGTGAAATTGAGGACAGCCTGGTCTACAGGAGTGTACACTGGACAGACAGGGCTGTTATACAGAGAAACCCTGTCTCAGAAAACAAAGCAAAACAAAAAACAAAAACCATACACTATATATATGTATATTTTAATTTTTTTATTTTTGCTATGATTTTTGTTTTGAGACAGGATCTCACTATGTAGCCCTAGCCCAGGCTGACCTGGAACTCCTTAGACCAGGCTAGTTTCAAATCAGAGATCTTCCTGCCCCTGTCTCTTTTTGAGCGCTGGAATTTAAGACACATGCCTCCATGCATGTTTCCTTCACAATGTTTCAAATAAGGGCATGACTTTGTGGTGGGCTGTATTATTTCCATGGCTACTGTGGGGGCATTTGTAGGTCACAGCTCACAAGTCTGGGAGATCAAGGCTTGTGTGTGTGTATCTGTGCACCCCCCCCCACACACACACAGGGGTGAGGGGGCCAGGGAGGCAAGCAAGCCAGGCACTTAGGAGGCTGAGATAATAACGGAGTTCAAGGTCAGCTAGTCTACAAAATTCCAGGTCATCCTGTGAACACACAAAACGAAGCCAGGTCTGCAGCACACTCTAACTCAGCATTTAGGAGGCAGAGGTAGGGGATAAGTCTGAGTCTGGACTTCACAGAATCCTGTCTCAACTTGGATTGAGAAAGGCAATCAGTCCCTTAGCGCACACCTGGCATCAGGTTTTCCTTAGCAGGTTACGGTTTACAATAATCACAGCTGCAAGCCATTTCCTCATCAGAGCAACAATGGTTGTCTTACTTGCAGGCACCCTCATCCAACCTGGGGACCTAGCAGTTCATCCCACACTGACCTGGGGTAACGGCACTCAATAGGCACCTCGGCACGGTTAGTCCTCAGGATGGACAGGCCACGCACAGGGCGGGGTTCATGCAGCAGCAAAGTGCTGTACACCAGGGCATCTTCTGTCACCTGAAGCAAATGTAAGGTTTGTTAAAGCATGTGCCACCACTGCCCTGCTACAAAGTTATAATGTTAACCAAATCCAAACCGCACACCCTGGGGAGGCTTGCTTGGCCTATGGGGAGTTCCAGGGAATCCAGCTGATGAAGGCTGACCGTCAAGGCTCAGTTCAACCGGCCCTCTGCTGGCCAGTAAAGAAGCAAGCTAAACTGGAGAGAGCTCAGTAATTAAGAGATTTAGGTTCAATTCCCAGCACTCAAATGGCAGGTCACATAACCCTCCAGTTCCAGGGGTGGCACCCACCCCCCATGGTGCATATGCATACAAGCAAAACACCACACAAAAAATAAAATTTTTTTTTTTTTTTTTTTTTTTTTTTTTTTTTTTAAGTTGAGCAGGCAGGGGTTGTGCACAACTTTAATCCCAGCTAGGCAGAGGCAGCAGAACTCGGAATTTGAAGCCAGTCTTGGTCTACAGATATAGTTTTAGGACAGCAAGGGCTACACAGAGAAACCCCATATAGAAAAAAAGTTGAAAAACTGTTAGTAGTTTTGTGAGATCAGTTGAGCCCAGGTTGGCCTCAAACTTTGATCCTCCTGCCTCAGCCTCTCAAGAGATATAGGATTACTTGAATTACAAACCAAAATTACATTCCAAAGTTTGCTTTAGGACACCTGAGAGTTTTAGGGCTTATCACTAAACATGAGTGACCCCAAAGCAGCTGCACCGCTGGAAAATACCCCAGCATGAATGATGACTTCCCCATAGCTCTATGGAATCACCCTTCCTTCACCGCATACTCTTCCTTCGCACATTCTTAGACCCTGTGCAATGAAGGCAGAATTACAGACAGCCACCTGGAAGGTGTGAGAGGAAGTGACGGAGATCAGGTAAGGAACCAAGTTAACTCCAGCCTGGCTTATCCAAGGTCTACCTACACCTGTCTCCAGGTGAGCCTCATCCACTTGGGCCTACCACCCTGCCACAGTTGGAACTTTTTAAATAGGCTTTTGTGTAGCTCAGGCTTAAGATGACCCTGGACTCCTAGTTCTTCTGCCTCTGCTCATCTGAGTGCTGGATTACAGACATACAACACTTTTTTTTGGTGCTGAGGCTCAAATTCAGTGTCTTATGCTAGGTGAGCTATGTCTACAACCAGCTACGAATCAAGAGTGTCATGCATGTGTCAGACCTGGAGAGATGGCTTAGGGGTTAAGAGGCTGCTCTTCCAGAGGTCCCGAGTTTGTGAGCCACCATGTGGTTGCTGGGCACAAACCACCTAGAATGAGATCTGGTGCCCTTTCCTGGTGTACAGGCAGAACATTGCATACATATTTTTTTTTTAAAAAAAAGAATGTAATGTTCTCTGCCCCATACATTTTTTTTAAATTCAAAGCTGCCAGGCATGATGGTGCACCCCTGTAAACTCAGTGCCAGGGGAAGCAAAGACCAGGTTATAGCTATAAGACGCTCTCTCAAAAAAGCCCTAGTTTGCAGGTTGTTGGTGGAGCACCCCTTTAATCCCACCACTCAGGAGGCAGAGGCAGGTGGACCTCTGAGTTCGAGACCAGCTTGGTCTACAGAGTGAGTTCCAGGACAGCCTCCAAAGCCACAGAGAAACCCTGTCTCGAAAAACCAAAAAAAAAAAAAAAAAAAAAAAAAGCCCTAGTTCCAAGGGCAGTGTGGGGGGTAGCTATATAATCTGAGTTGCCTGCCTTGGATGTGCTGGAATCAATCCCCAGCATTGGTTACCAATTTTCTGTATTAGTAATTGGATTCAGATTCTTGTATTTTTATTTTGACTTTTGAGGCATGCTCTATGTTACTCCGACCTCAATGTCCTCCCTCTCCAGCCTTCCCAGTGCTGGGATTACAACTGTATATGCCTGATCCAGAGGTTTTTTGTTTTGTTTCTTCGTAAACAGTCTATCATGTAGCCAAGGCTGTCCTTAAACTCCCAATTCTCTGGCCTCTACTTCCCAAGTGCTGGAATTTTGGGTCTGTGTTAACCCCACATGCCTTGGCAGGGATTTTTGATGCCTCTAGCAAGTGCCCAAGCTATCCTCTGCTTTCCTTTCCAACTCTTAGTCCCATTACCCTTACATTCTCTCTTCGTGGGAAGGGACCACAGATCTTCAGGAGAAACCAGAGTCTGGCAAGTAGACTGGTCCCAAGAACACAGATTCCCCCCCCCCCCCCCCCCATCCCCCAGCATCCAGCAGCGCCTGGAGTTTTTCCACCATCCTCCATCAGTGGCCACTCCCTAATTACAGTGAAAGGAGACAGTCCTAGGCCTCAGAAATTCCATCACCAGTCAACCTCCCAGCGTGCTTTCCCCTCACCAAGGGAGGGACGCCCAGCCTCACCTGCACTCCGTTACTGCATTCATGCAGCTGGGCCTTGAATTTGACCACATCGGTATCCACGGAAACCAGGGGCCGACAGCTTTCTGAGCCAAGGGTGAGGTCCCCGGGCTGTATGAGCTTCCCGGTGCCAAAAAGGTCTCGACTGACAGTCACCACGAGCTCAGCTTCCAGACACTCCACCTCCACGGATGATGTGGGCCTCACTGGGGCCGGAGTTCCACCTGTCCACAGAGGCTGGGGACAGCACAGCTCG